GTCTTTGGGTGTCTTGTTTTTGCCTCCACGTTATCCTCTCATCGTACCAAGTTTGCTCCACATGCTAGAGTGTGTGTCTTTCTTGGTTATCCTAATGGTGTGAAAGGGTATAGACTTTTTGACCTCAACAGTAAAAGTTTCTTTATTTCCAGAGATGTTATGTTTCATGAACATGTTTTTCCTTTCTCTTCTCTCCCTGTTGATGAACATCATGTTGACCCTTTCCCTGATATAGTTCTTCCATCCCCGGCCTCTGACCATTTCCCATCTCCCACATCAACTAACCCGGTTTCTTCTCCTGTCCAATATGATGTTTCCTCTTCACCTCAGAATTCTCACCAGTTTCTCTTAGGCATTCCTCTCGACCTACCAAAACCCCATCTTATCTCAGGGATTTTCATTGCAACTTTTCCCACTCTTCCCAATCCAACACTTTGTATCCCCTGTCTAATTATTTATCATATAACTCTCTTTTTCCTTCACATAAAGCCTTTATTATGGCTATCTCCTCACATTTTGAGCCCCAATTTTATCATCAAGTTGTTTCTTTTCAGCATTGGCGTGATGCCATGGAATCCGAACTTGAGGCTATGGAATCTAATCACACTTGGTCTGTTGTTTCGTTACCTCCCGGCAAACACTCCATTGGTTGCAAATGGGTGCATAAGATCAAGCACAAATCTGATGGTTCCATTGAGCGTTACACAGCTCGTTTGGTGGCTAAAGGCTACACTCAACAAGAGGGTGTTGACTACATTGATACTTTTTCACCAGTGGCTAAATTAGTTAATGTAAAGGTTTTACTAGCCTTGGCATCTATTAACAATTGGCATTTGGCTCAATTAGATGTTAATAATGCCTTCCTTTATGGTGATCTATTTGAAGAAGTGTACATGGATTTGCCACTTAGGTACAAACCTCAGGGGGAGCTTTCTGTTTCTCTTGGCAAACGGGTTTGCAGGTTGCACAAATCAATATATGGCCTGAAACAAGCTTCTCACCAATGGTACTCCAAGTTTTCACATTCTTTAATTTAGTTTGGTTTTCAGCAATCCAAGTCTGATTATTCATTGTTCACTAAAGGTACCGGTTCTTCCTTTGTTGCTTTGTTGGTATATGTGGATGACATTGTTCTCCCAGGACCTTCTCTGGATATAATTAATTCCATCAAGGCCTTCTTACGTGGTTCTTTCAAGTTAAAGGATTTAGGACCATTGAAGTACTTCCTTGGCCTTGAAATTGCCCGTTCCTCACGTGGGATAGTCCTCTCCCAGTGGCAGTATACCTTACAGCTTCTGGAGGACACTAGTTTTTTGGCTTCTAAACCTGCCTCCTTGCCTATGGATCCTAAACTTTCACTCACTGCAACCACTGGCGAGCTTCTCCAAGATGTTTCCCACTATAGACGTCTCATTGGTCGTCTCCTTTATCTCACCCTCTCTCGTCCTGACATCACTTTTGCAGTGCAAAAGTTGAGTCAGTTTTTGTCGCAGCCTCGGGTCCCTCATTTACAGGCTGCACATCAACTTCTTCGTTATCTCAAGACAGCCCCTGGTCAGGGTTTATTTTTTTCCTCCACTTCTTCTTTGCAGCTTCGTGCTTTCTCCGATGCTGATTGGGCCTCTTGTGCTGACACTAGGAAATCTGTTTCTGGTTTTTGTGTGTTCCTTGGTGATTCACTGGTTTCATGGAAAGCAAAGAAGCAGTCCACCATATCTCGTTCTTCTGTTGAGGCCGAATACAGGGCCTTGGCTGTCACCACTAGTGAACTTGTTTGGATTCAACAATTGTTGAAAGATTTTTCTGTTACTCTTGATGGTCCTGTTCTTCTTTTTTGTGATAATTAGGCTGCTTTGCATATAGCCTCTAATCCGATCTTCCATGAACGTACAAAACACATCGAAATTGACTGTCATTTTGTCCGTGATAAAGTCTCTGCTGGTTTTCTTAAACTCATGTCAATCAGCTCCAAGCATCAATTGGCAGATATGTTCACCAAAACTTTGCTTTCGACACTATTGTTTCCTTTGCTGTCCAAGATGACTGTTAAAGACATTCACAGTCCATCTTGAGGGGGAGTTTTAGAGTTAGTTAGTTAGACTTGTTAGTTTGTTAAGCTTACTCAGCAAGTTGTTAGTTTGTTAAACTTACTCAGCAAGCTATTAATTAGTTTGTATATAAAACTGAGGCTGTGTAACATTATTCTTTGAATGAATGAAAAGATTCATTTTTCCATTCCGTTATTCTTCCCGTAATAGCATGTAAATATACATACATATATTTATATATGGTATACTATATATCGGTGTTGGTCAGGTTCATGAGGACTGATGACGACAACCATATTTGTCTGTGTACGGGCTGTATACAAGTTAATTAACAATGAAAAATCAATCAGTATGATTGATTGAATAAATAAAGTGGATTATTATGCTGAAGCTTTCGTTTTGTTCTTCATTCATCAAGTTAGCTATATATTTTTCCTTTAATTTTAAGCTGATTAATGTGGATTCATCAAAAGTACTATTGTTTTCTTTTTATTGTTGATTCTCTAATTTGTCGTCTAAATATGTGTTTTTCGCCGTTGTTGTCATGTCAGCGTCGTTTTTACAAGTAAATGGTTTTTGTTTTCTGCCGTTACTAATTAATCGTCGTTGTTCACATGTTATCGCATTTCCTTTCATTGTTCTTGAAACGTATGTGGTTTTTTTATGGCATATTAATGTTTTTCGTCGTTTTGGCATTATTGTCGTTTATATGTTGTTTTCAATATTTTAAGGTCGTTTTTTAGTTTCATGTCCTCTCCTGATCTTGTCGTTTGAGAGTGTTTTTTGTTTTGTTGCTGTCGCTGCTGTATTTGTATCGTCTAATTTTTGCTGTGTTTTCATCTCATTGCTGTTTCTTTCAATTTGCTGTCGGTCTCAATTGTGCGTCATCTGCTGTTGTTATTTACATGTTATTCTTGTTAATAATCAATTTATCTCTTTTTCAGTTTCTTGTTTATTTTGTGTTTTCAGTCATTATTTTCAAAGTTACTGTCGGTTTTCATGTATTGTCGTTTCTTCCTTTGTTTTCTTTTTCTGTGGTTGTTTTCAATTATTGGCGTTTTTCATATAATGTTGTTGGCATTTTTCTGTTGTTTCTATATGCACTTTCCGTATTTATTTTATTTCTTTTTTTCAAATTTTTTATGATATTTCCGTCTCCAAAAGTGACTGTCATTTTATTTTATTGCCGTTTTTAATTTATGCTAGTTTTTCTTATTTTTAAATTTATTGTCTTTTCCTTCAATTAATTGTTGTCGTTTACTTATCCTGTAATTTAAACATCGGGCGTCATTTCTCTTGTTATTCTCATGCTACGTTGTTTATGAATGTCGCTCGTTTCCTTTATTCCCGCCTTTTGCATAATGTCGTTTTCATTTTGTTGTCGTTTGTCGTACTTATTTTCAAATCATTGTCGCTTTGTACATATTGTTGTCTGCAATTTATTTGTCGTTTCTACGTGTGCGTACTTTTTCAGATATTAATAGTTCACGAATATAAATAAGCAAAATTATGCGACAAAGAGAGAATACTCCTCTATATGCATCAAATTTCTGCAGATATCAAGCAGGCAGATAATAATGGAAAATATATAGAGAAAAGTAAATGCTCGGCTAGCGAAGTTAAAAAAAATTAGTTCAGCCGCTAGCAGATTGGAATATGCTTTCATACGTGCATGTTAGATTTAATAACAATGTCCCATAAAGTTCAATGTGATTTCTACTTGTTTTCCCCACGTAAATAAAATTTCTCTTGGGTAAACTGCCAAATTATGTAACTTAAAACAATGCCAAATTAGATATTATTGAGTTTCAAGAAAGAAGGCTGAGATATTTTCTAATGAATGAAAATAATCTTTTTTTATTATTGAATAAGCTGTACAGTAATGTCTTAAATAGCTCACATAACCTCTAACTAATTACAACTAAGGCCAATGCCTTATTGACACGTGTACACTAATCTAACTAACTAATAACATCATAACTAATCAGTTATCTCTAACAGATATATACACTTTTCGCCGCTGCTGATTTTCCTTTTGACAAAACGAAACTTAACAACTAGGAAGTAGGAGGTCCTGGTGCTAGGGCGGATCATCCATGTAAATGCAATGCTAATGCTAGCTTTTGACATATAGAAGGGATTAACTACTCCTTCTGGGCTAAGGGGCCAAGGGCTAAATCTGTAAATAGCTTATCTATACTAGAGTAGCATTAAAAACAAATATATATATATATATATACTATTTTCTTTTTGAAGGAAAAAAATAAATATATGTTAGAAAATTAAGTGGCAATCTAGATTTGATTATGGGATAATTGTTTCATACATGAGTGAAAAATAATGAAAAGTCTCGTTCACTTCACGGATTCGAGTTTTTAATTTGAGTTGAGATGTGACATTTTTTTAGAGTTTTTCACTGTAACAGAAAAAGTTATGTGACATTTTCTGAGAGTTTTTTACTGTAGAAATCTAAACTGAAAACTCGAATCGGTGAAATGAACAAGGCCGGTCTATTATTTCGAATTTAAGAATCTCAAGTACCCGGATGTGGCAATGTACGAAATAAACCAGCTCAATCATATTCTTCGAATTCTAATTTACATCTTGTTTCAACACGACAATATTTACGTCGTGCTCTCAGCTTTTTCGAATATGGCTATATATTTTGGCAACTAATATCAGTTGTCTTAACCATTTCTTTTCTGCGACAACTTGTGAGTTGCGTGTTACAATAGAATGAAGTATGGACTTTCTAGCAACTAGCTATTAACCTATTACTTCCCAAACTCCCAAGTGGATCCAAAATGGAAACGAGTAATTAAACACCAATATTGATGCACCAAATAATAGTACTACTATTACTTCGTCTCGGTTTGAACAAAAATCCAAACCAAATCTCCATTATAAATACATCTCTTATGCATCTAATTCCCCCATCAACATTATAAAGTTAATTTCACCAAAAAGTTTTTGATTTTTTTTTTGCATTGCCTTTGTTCACGTAAAACCAAAATGAGATCATTCTCTAGGACTTTGATCTCATTCTCAGTCAGAATTTGTATTATCATAATCTCATTATCCATGTTCCAATCCTCTCGTGCCCAAACCTTCTCACAAGATTGCCTTAGGCCACACAACACGGCTCGTGCCGAGGTAGGTGTCCCACCAATGGCGTGGAACACGACTCTAGTGAATTATGCAATTGAATATGCTAGATCACGCATTGGTGACTGCTCTTTGGTGCACTCCTACGGGCCTTACGGCGAAAACCTTGCGTGGAGCGGCGGCGACCTGTCATGCTCCGACGCTGTGAGGCTGTGGGTGGCGGAGAAGGCCTACTACAATAACAACTCGAATTCGTGCGCTCCCGGCAGAGTTTGCGGGCACTACACTCAGGTGGTGTGGCGTAACTCGGTTCATGTTGGGTGTGCTAGGGTTCGGTGCTACAACAATAGGGGTACGTTCGTCATTTGCAGCTATTCACCCCGTGGGAACTATAGGGGGCAGCGTCCTTACTAATTATCATAACTAATTAGGAATTTAATTACTAGTATTACAAATAAAGTTATAAAGTATACACATATATATTGATCAATCTTCTACTGAAGGTGAATAGGTCATCATGAATAAGACGCTTTCATTTTCTGTTCTATTGTGACAAATTCCTAAAATTATGTACTAGAAAATAGATAAATATATACACGTACTCCATCGATCCTTTCTTCAATATTATATATGCAGAAGCAGTACATCCTCAAAATCATGAATGAAAATTGCTTTAGTTCCTTTAAATCTCACATTTAACAAGACTAGTTTTTTTTTTTTTTTTTTTTTTTAGGATCATATATATAAGAACATTGCGATAATATTGGCGTGCTTTAATTAATATTCTTTAATTCGTGTGCATATGTGAAGCCATATCAGTATGATCATGCCTTCTTGGACAAGGCCTGCATCTCGAGTATTCAACGTGTCATACATAAAAATTAAAGCAAGTAATTAATAAAATAATATTTTGAATTCATGTTTTATGCTCATCCATCTTTTCTCAATCACTAGTGATGAATCTAGCAGATTTATCTTCACGTCCCTTTTGTATGTCTTAAACAAAACCTTTAATTTATGTTTGGACAGGACATCATAACGAATTTACATGTTTCGTAAAACAAATTCATTCCGTTTTAATTTCATTACTGCGTATTTTGAGTAGTTTGGAAAAAGAAACAACATATGGAAGTCATCTCTATCAAACACCACTATACATTGATTACTTAATTATAATCTTATCAATTTAATCCTTTACTCAAGGTCAACGCAAAGTGTATACTTTCCCAAGGGGGAAGTTCCGCTGACTAAATTAGATTGCTTAACTCTGTAATCCATACTTTTAATTTTTTTACACTAAACTTTCCATAATGGTACATCTGCGTAAATGATTCCCCAACCCCTATAAATGGCCTCAAATCATGCCCATAATTCCCAAAACCAAAGTTTCTATCTCCAAAATTGAGAAAGATCTCAAAAGTGTGAAAAAAAAAAATGACTGCGTCTAAAATGTCAATGCTCTTCCTCATGATTTGTGTTTTTGGTTTGGCACTTTTTGAGCCTTCCCATGCCCAAAACACTCAACAAGACTACCTCAACGGCCGCAATGTGGCTCGTAAACAAGTTGATGTGACCAACATAACATGGGACACCACAGTGGCAACCTACGCTCTCAACTACGCCAATTCAAGGAAAGGAGACTGCAACTTGGTGCACTCAAATGGGGCCTACGGCGAGAACTTGGCCAAAGGCACCGGATCATTCTCCGGCAAGGCTGCAGTGGACTTGTGGGTGGCGGAAAAGTCTAAATACAACTACACCTCCAATTCCTGCGTCGGCGGCGAGTGCCGCCACTACACTCAGGTGGTTTGGCGCTATTCCGTCCGCGTTGGCTGCGCAAGGGTCAAGTGTGACAATGGCTGGTGGTTTGTCACTTGCAACTATGATCCTCCAGGCAATTACGTTAATGAGACTCCTTACTAATCATGAAAAAAGATTCATATCATTCTGACCCTCGCCTGACTGATAATTAGTTAAGGGTGGGACATTAACATTAATATTAAAATACTTTTATACACTTATGTAATAAGACTTGGTTCACTTATTGTTGTAAGAGTGACCAGTATTGGCTTTTGTAGCAGTAATCTTCTTTTCGATGGCACAGCAGTTACGTTACTGTCATCATTCATCACTCTCTTGACAAGGGTTGGCATCTAAAATTCTCATTTTTATTTATTTATTTATTTTTGGTTGGTTATTCTGTCCAATTAACAACTCAGATTCTGTAAGAACGTTATAGGGGAAAACAAAAATATTCGTATCATTGACTATATAATATATAGTACAAGGTAATCATTCTCAAACATACACTTCCAACATAATCAAGATATTCCCTCCTGCAAACACTCATTAGGAATATTTACGTCAAAGTTCGACAATCTTTGGCCTCTTACTTGACTTTCTATTTTTTGTAACTTCACCTGAAGAATTACCCTTGTCAGATTTGGATGTTTTCGGCTTCATGGAAGAGAGTTTTTTACAATTTTGGTTTTCACTATCTTCGTCGTTATCGTCGCCATTAATTGTCTCGCCCTTGTCACTGCTATCCTCCGATTCAGAATCTGTATCTAAATTCGAATCCGATTCTGGATCTGAATCTGATTCTGACTCACTGCTGCTATCAGCCAAAGGAATCGCTGGCTGATAACCAGAAATGGCAGATTCAGCAGCAGCCACAGCTTCCGGAGTATGAAGATCAGCAATTCCCAGCATCAAGTCCTGTAAAATGAGATGAACCAAGAAAATCAATTCTAATCCAATGGCTAAAAGTCTAAAATAGCATATAGAGAGAGAGAGAGAGGAGAGAAAACCATTTCAATGACTTGAGATTCATCTCCAGTAAGCGCTTCAATATCATAGTTTTCAGCATTGACCTACAAGTAATTTGTGTATACAAGATAAGTATAAGCATTGACCTACGAGTTTAAAACAAAGATGCTCACAAAAGCTGACTTCAAAATGCAAGATAAGTATTAGGCCAACCTTTGCATCAAGCTCCAAACTTTTATTAGCTTCTGATATGACTCCCAAGAAGTCTTTTACTTTACCCAGAACTGCACAAAAGACAAAAAAAAAAAAAAAGAAGCTTCATTACAACTCAAAGGAACTATGAATCTTTCAAAAGCTCCTTTCTTTAGACCTATTATTAGCTATTTCGTCCACTTCAATCCAATTTTAGCTCGCCTTGTTAATTCTAGAGATTTAAGAACAAACCTAGAAGGCTAAAAAAGGTCAAATTGGAACTTAAGAAAAAAAGAGACTGTTAAGAGGGAAAAAAAAAACAAAACAAAAACAACAAACAAACAAACAAAGAGAGTTTGTAGAATTCTAAACATGACATATAAATAATATCAAAATTATGGACACAATAATGCATGATCATAGAACACCAAAACTAACCCATAAAAACCAAATACATGGAAAGTGAGAGTAAAAGTGAGTACCTTGGCTCTGGGGAATAGGAGCAGTGATGGGCTTTTCATGGGGTTTAGTTTCCTTCTTTCTTTGAGAATCATTTTTACAAACAAGTAGTGCGGATTCTGTACATAACCCACACAATTTTGGTAAAATCAAATCAGTGAACAAGCAAAGAAAAATCATAATAAATAGAGATGCAGAGATATTTTTTTAGAGAGAGAGAGAACCTAGCGATGAAGCGGAGGGATTTTTGTGCTCCAAGTGTAGAAGGTCCTTGCTGGTATTTCCCATCTCTCTCTCTCTCTCTCTCTCTCTCTCTAAAACAAATCGGCAGAGAAGACTGAAGGCAGAAGGGAACAGAGTGAGGAACGTGTTTCTCTGCCGCCAAACAAGCATTAAGGGTAGATTGTTCACGACTAATGTGAACCGTTGGATTATTTGTCATCCAACACTCCAGAACACTTTGGACTAGAAAGTTTACCGTTGGCGGGAAGCCCAGCTTCTCTTATGTTCGGTAGCCCAATTCCATCCATCCCCTTTTGGGCTTTAATTTGGGCCTTGACCTTCTCAATTTTCGGCCCATACTACTCCCAGCTACGGCTTTCCTTTTTTTTTTTTTAATCTTGACAAATTAGTTCAAAATTGTATAGGTTAGAATTTTAACTTTTTATTTTTTATTTATAATATTTTTAATTAAATAATTACATTAAAAGGATATTTATTAAAAATAAAGAGTAAAAATGACTCGTGCACTTTGAGGGTTAATTCTCTTTTTGTTTTTGGTGAGAAATTGTCATAAATAACTCTTTTTTTTTCTTATTTTGATAAAGAGTTAAAATTATGGATAATATAAATGATGCCCTGATTTGTTCAGTAAATAGAAGATTAATCTAGTTACGTATATTTGAGATTATAGGGAAAAAAAAGGTCATTTTTTGTCCTCAAGAGTTTGGTCATTTTTTGAAAATATCCCTTAAAATCGACCCTTTCTTTATTCACCTTTTTTTTTTAAAACTCTGTCGTAGCAGCAAAAAGTAACGATACGTTATTTTGTTAATTTAAAAAAAAAATAATCTCTTTACTCAAAAAAAAAATCACTTAAATTTACCATCCAGAGAAAATTATGATCTTAAATATGTATAATTTTTTTTCTTTCTCATATATATACCATCAGGGGCGGAGCTGTTCAAAAATAAGTGGGGCAGCCGCCTTCACTGAATTTCTAAAAAATAAAATTTGACCTTTTAAAAAATTAAATTTTTTAATTTCGCCTCCATTAAATTTTTTTTTTTTCATACATGCCTCTATTAAATTTTATTTCTTCATCTTTTATACAACTTTACTCCTTTTACTCATGAGCTATTCTAATATGTATTATGATTTATATATGGGAGCTTTTATGGTATTTTTATTTTTATACCATGCATTTTGAGGTTTAAAAACGTATATTTTATATTTTGAATTATATTACATTTATACATTTTAAATTCATAGTAAGTACTTACTCATTTACGGTCAAAAGTTAGTTTTCACTGTGAAAAATACCTAGATATCCTCATATTTTACAAGTTTCCTTTCCTTTTCAAAAAAATTATTAATGGCATATAGCTCTTTAAGTGATCAAAATTGATTGTTGATCGAGGAGGAAAGGCAAGAAGTTAGCATAAATTAGAAATCTGAAAGCATAAATATGGTCAACTGAAAATATAATATTGCATTATTTTTTTATCATTTTAAGTATAAAAATAAAAATGTTGTTTATGGTAGGATATCTTTATTGGTCTAATCAAAATCACATTAAAATAAAAAATATGCATAACAAATTATTATTTTTTATACTAATATGATATTTCAAGACAAAACCCTATCCACAGTTTTTCTTTTCACATTGTCAAATTCTTTATATATATTTAGTAGCTTTTGAAAACTAAAATATTACAATTTCTTTTTGTATATTTTTTCTTTTGTAAAAAAAAATAGAATAATATTTCGCCCTAAGTGAGATTGAAGGCTAGCTCCGTCACACTGTATACCATGTTGTACATAACAATGAAAGAAAGATTATAAGAACCGAATTTTCCAATAAAAATACAATAAAGCTAGAGAACCTTTTGGGTGTGCAAACCAAATAAGACGTGCGAATTAAAAGGTTACTTTACTTCCAAGGTACAAATACTTTGATCTAATAAGCTCCAATCTTTAACTAATGATTCCTCTTTTCCTTGTTACAGCCTCACATATATGATATGAATATTAAGTTGGCAATAAAAAAAAAATAACAAAAAATAAATGAAATTCCTATTTTGATCAATATTTCGGTAGGGAACACTCCTTTGGAAGATTGTTTTGGAACCTCTCATTGTCTTGGCAATAGTCATAAATCATGTGGTACTTTCTAACCCATTTGAACAACCTTCTCTGCGTGGATGTTAGGGTGCTGTACTTGTGCTTGTGCCACCAATTAGTAGGGCTTTCTCCCCTGCAAAACCTTGCATTTCCATTCCAAATACAAGCATCAATCTTGTAGTTCTTGAAGGAAGCTATGAAGGGGCCTTTTGACCAATCGATTTTGTCGCGGCCGCCTCTAGTCGCCCAGCTGTCACCATCCCACAGGCTGACTTTGATGCTCATTGGCTGCCACCGCGGAAATCCGACACCCTTGTCTGCATGGTTCCTATACACTCTTATGGGAACCCAATCCACCATGAATCTACAAGACAGAAAAAATGTTTACATTTTTTTTTTCTTTCTTTGGCCAATCTAATATAATAATATAATAGCTCTACTTTTGAAGTATATTATCTTACACAATTTGGTGAAGGTTCCATAATATGGAATAGGTATGGAAATCCTTTGTTGGATCAAACCAAAGATTAACCCTTTCCTCACGGTTGTCAAATCCATCAGCAAAAATATTTGTCTGAAGAATGTATGGTTGACCAGCCACATTACCAAGGAACTCAAAGTCTATCTCATCACGGTTTGGTTGATCAGATGTCAACTGCATTAATCACAAATATTGCCAAATTAAATTTTGTTACTTATTTTTTTTCTCTTTTTAAATCAGCCATAACAAAGAAACAAAACATGGGATAAAAAGGAGTGTTGATTACATAATAGGCCACAACTGTGCCTGCTGAATGGCCTGGAACTAGCTTTACTTGCATGTCAATCTCCCCGAACAAGAACATCTGATTCGAAGAAAAGCCCGCGCCTATAATTGTACACAAATATTAAAAACAAATTAGAAAAATTTTAAACTAAAAGGATGTTTTGAAAATCCTTTTATTTGTTATATATAATAATACTTTTTCATGAATTTTAACAAGCTAGCACACAAACCAGATTCTTGATCGAGCTTCAAGCTTCTTTCGCGGCCATGGGCGGAAGTGTTTACATGGCTAGGTGACCATGTTACGAAGAAATCCTTATTGAAGTCTCCAGTTGAAACGACAGAACTTTCAGCAATTTGAACAAGTCTCACGGCAAGAAGGCTGAAAAATATGATAATTTTGTGATTGCCATTCATGGTTAGTTTCCGACTTCTTTTTTCAATTGTGCTTATTTTTTCCATGATAAGAAGACGTTGAAGGAGCTATTTATATGTAAGTATACATTGCATGGGAAAAGGGCAATGAAAATGTGAAAGACAAGGAAGGTTTTTGATTAAGCAGGAATATCTTTAGGATGAAGCAAAATAGTTCGTTAGCATCCTACGAAGTATAATATAATATGATTTTAAGTTTATTGTCGTCCCTATTTAGGTGTTAATTATAATATGCTCACTAATGATCATGGCTTAGTTTCGTAGTGCTATAGATTTTGAAAAAATTGCTTTTAGCTGTGCTGAACGAAGAAGCAACTGTTACAAAAAGCAGCGGAGTGTTTAGTAAACAATAATTATAGTAGCTATGCTGGCTCCAAAATCAGTATAATAGCATTTGATAAATTATAAGGTTGAACTGCTGTGGATGGTTCAAATTTATGACTATATAATATTATACTATAATATAATATATATAATTACAATATAATATATATTTATTTTTATATTTAATATAATTAAAAACTATTATTATAATAAAATATTATATAATTATTGTCATGACTGAGAAATTTATCAGAATTATTGTCATGACCGAGAAATTTATCAGAATTATTGTATAGGATAATATTTCCTATAATCCTTTGTATCATTAATATAAATACTTTTATGATAAGTATGAAATACAAGTTATAAGCTAAAGTTCAGAAATTTCTGAACTACGATGCAGTTACCGATTTTTGGACTGTATTTAAGAAAGAAGTATGGAATGTTGTGTTAAGCCCACAAGTGGGTAAACACATGAATGATAAGTTTAAAAAATGGAAAAGAATTGAAAGACATCAGTTCTAGGGTTTTTGAAACAATCGAAACGAAAAACGGACGAAAAAGGGGTTCGGAAGGCCGAACCGAAAAAATTAGGGTTTCGACTAATTTGAGTTGACCAAGTCAAAGTTTATTGATGAAGAGTCGACTAAAACGTCACCCTCGAAAAGTTAGTCAAGAATGGTCAAGGTTGACTAAGTTGACCATCTGTCTGAAAAACTCATATAAAACGCATACCGGATAGGAATTAAATTGAACCAAAATAGGATAATTATTAAATGATCAGTGGTTGAGATTAAAAGTGAAAAATTGGATGGAAGGCTGAGATTGAGCCATGTGGCATGCAAGGTGGCCGGCCAAGACTTAATGGAGAAGAAAATGAAAGATATTTTTTGGGATATTTTGGGAATTTTGTAAAAAGTCCTTAAAAAAGTCAAGATTTCATTTTTGGACATTTACTTTATGTATTGGTCGGTTCATGAATGACATATTACGTGAGAAATGGTTATTTCTCATACATAAGAACAGAGAACATCAGCCAAGAGAGAAAGAGAAAAAAAAAATTCCAAAGTGAAGGAAAAACGGGATTTAAGCGGAAATCGTCGAATCTACCGAGGAATAGCATCACCGAAGCTTGTTCTTCACTCTCTAAGGTGAGATTTCAAATTTTTCCTCTCATTTCTTCACTATGGCTGCACATGGGAGGTGATAGATGTTGGTTTCTGAATCAAATTCGGATGCAGAAGCGTGAGGATAGCGGATCAAGTATAACAAAAATTTTCATAAAACATTTAAGATACTCTATAGATTATATTAATTTATGCACGAATAAATTAATCATATTAATTTATTTATTAAGAACTCAATTAGGAAAAATACCTGGAGGCCGATTAGGATGATAACTTGAGTTCTTTGATCTCGAACAATCCTTGCTTCACAACCTTGTGTTTAGAAAACCAAAGTCTTCCACGTCAATTCCTTGAATCTACGTAGACGTGTGTGTGGGCACACTTGAGGCAAAAAACGGGTTGGAATAAACACTCAAATTTCCACAAACACTAACGCATGCACGATGTAGAATTTTTTTAGAGAAAAAATATTTTTCCTCTCACTCTATGGAGAATTTCGGCCACCCTCAGAAAATTAGGTCAAAAATTATTTTCAAAAATTGTCTCAATAGTTTTCTATCATTCTCTTATTTATAGAGTAGAAGTCAAACTTCTAGAAAGAATCCAATCTCTATCTCCAAGATAAAGCTTGTTAATTATCTCCTATTTGAATTTGGAACAAAATCTCCTTCTCTTTATCCTCAAGATGGCCGGCCAACCTAGGTGATCCTATCCCTATGGTAGGCGCCAATTTCAGATAGGGAATGAAGAGAAAATCATCCTTTATCTTGTAGTTCAATTTTGACTCAAATTTAAATTCTAATTTAAGTCACACTTAAATTAATTTGAATTCTAAATTGAACAACTTATCAAATATGTTTAAATTGATAAATCTAGATGTATTCAAATTCAAATTTAAATAATCACATTATTTAAATAATAATTAATTCTCAATTAATTATTTCTGAGTGTTTAATTTTAGAATTCTGTAATTCTAAAATTCTCATTTTGCCCTTTGTGTCTGGCAGAATTACTAGGACGACGCGGGGACTAATGGACTTATAATCCCGAGCTCCGATAAAATTAATAATTAATTAAACCCTTTAATTAATTAATTAATTCCAATAGTTACTTCACTATAAACTTGGAATTGCACTTTCAAAATTATAGATATAAATTACTTCTAAACTGTGAAGTGTCCATTTGATATAGTCATTGCATATAGATCAATCCTCCATAGATAATTCATAATTAGAGCCAGGTAGAATCCATTAACCTCTCTAATTATATCTTCATCCTTGAATACCATTGATTCTCTAATGGATAGTGATTCATAAAACACATTCATGAACCAGAGCGCTCTAACAAATCCAAGTACCGAATCAACACTCAAGAGAATTATTTATCTACTTCTTTCTCAAGAAGGAATGGATTTCATCTCGTATAATAACATTCTCAGCTACCTACTTCATCATGTCTCCAAAATACAAGGAATAGGATTCAGGGTCTCAGAATCCGTACCGAGCAAATCAAAAGACACAAATCCATAAATAGGAGTTTGCTAAGAACTCAGGATTAATACCATTTTATATATGACCATCGGTAGACTCAATTAGAATTTTTACACTTAACATAAATTATTAGAAATTCATATTGTGTCTTTGTCCCTGTTCCACATAATCTCATTATGCATAATACACTCATTCAATATCACACCACATTAACAGTGCAGATAACACCATTCCATTCTAAATGGGAATGACATGTATTAGTAATGTTCTAATTAAATATTCTGAACTTTAATTAAATTTATTACGAACATCACCTTTTGATTATTATCCTTAAACATTATCCTCTCATATACAACACTTATATACAATGTTTAAGGTTACATAAATAATCACGAAATTTTCATTTGATATTCATAAAATATTCATAAATATATGCACATAAAATGTTCAATAAACTCTTTTATTAAATAAATAATAAATATCCTATTACATCTCATGCTTCTAGGACACCATTCCCAACAATAGAAAGCATGAGGAAAATTTCACTTAAGTATGATAGTTGGTTTTTAATGGTTAAGGAACTTAAAAATGGATGAGTCAAGGATAAATTCTAGGTTAATTGACCTTTGTTTCTATCAATTTTTGGTATGGAAAAATTTTATGGATATATGATGAAACCCTAGAAATTGTTGTGTAATTGAAAGATAAAGTATGTGAATGGTGTTTGGTGGTGGAAACAACGGATAAAACGAGCTAAGGTTAGCTCGGGAAACATGCAGAAATAGGCGGAACTCTGCCGAAATTTAGTTTGAGTATTTTGAACTAAAACCGGATTTTAAGAGGAATAAAGGATTAAAGTGTGAAAAGAAAGGTATTTCGATAATCGGTGATGTATAGAAACCGAACACAATGAGAATTTACAGTTCTGAACCGAAACTGAAAAATTAGGGCCATGACTGAGGAACGTGCACGGTTTTAGTGTAAATTCTTGAGATAGAAAATATTTTGGGATTGAATACCAAACATAAGGATGGTAGATCTTTCCGAATTAAATTTTAATGTAATTATTGATCTTAGATTTTGAATCTAATGATCGAAAATTTATGCAATAGGATCGGTTAACGATTGAAGTCGGAAAGCGCCAAGTGAGACAAATGACGCATCGTTAGCGAAACTTTGGTAAGTACAATAGTTTTTCTATTGCTATATCACGAATAAGCTTACTTTTCTATGTTGCACAGAAATTGTGCATATGGTAGAATTTTGAATGTTAGATACAATGTGAATGTTAGATAGCTACAATGTTAAGCATGTATCTACAAGACTTAAGTAGCCGTAGAACTTTATTCTGCAAAAAGTATGTATCGATGTTAAGTCAAGGTCAAGTTACGAGAAAAAGTTAAACTTTAACAAAAAGTTAATCTCATGATAAACTGCTCAAAAATGCACAATTCATAAGATTTAACTAAAGTTACCGTTTCAATGAGAAAATTGATAAACGGTAAGAGACCAAACATCTTGTTTGTACCAGCCTTCGAAAGAAAGGTTATTGTGAGACTATGAAAGAAATGAAACCGTGACTGAGTTGGATTGGTTAGCTACCTCACTCTTCACTGGTTATGTGCGCTATGGTACAACAGGACAGGGCCCATAAGAAGTAAAAGCCAAGAAAATAAAAAATAAAAACCGTTCCATATAAAGGTACGGTACCTGTAAAGAAGAATGAAAAGAATGATAAACAGAAAATGAAAGTCGTTAAGAACGTGAAAATGCAATATGATCGACTATAATGAGATGAAAGCTGAACAAAGTATGTAATGAAAGAAGAAGAACATAAGCCATACATGTTTTAGTAGTACAGAATGTATTAGGATATATGACATGAATGCATATATGGGTATGCATAATTATTGCATCTGTTATGACCTATTGATACTTGTTGAGTGAAAGCTCATTAAGTTTGTTCGTGTTGTAGGAAGCTCGGGTAAGGCACCGGTTCCCTGAAACTTGTTGTTGGGCATGCAAAGAGGATGTAGCAGCAGAGTGTGGGCAAGTGAGTTGTAGATGCATCGTGTTTCGGAAACGCTATTGAACTTTACGTGTATAAAGTAAATAATGTTTTATGAATATTGATGATTTATGTAACGAAAGTTGAGTTCACGAGACAGTGAGGCTATGCATAGCAACCTCTAGTCACAAGGTATGATTAATAAAACAGAATGCTACAGTATTTTGTAAATAGTTGAAAATAGAATGCTACAGCATTTTCATTCGTGAAATCAGAATGCTATAGCATTTTACGAATAGTTGTAAACAGAATGCTACAGCATTTCACGAATAGTTGAAAACAGAATGCTACAGCATTTTCATTTGTGAAAACAAAATGCTACAGCATTTTCATTCGTGAAATCAGAATGCTACAGCATTTCACGAATAATTGAAAACATAATACTAAAGCATTTTATGAATAGTTGAAAACAGAATGCTACAGCATTTTACGAATAGTTGAAAATTGAATGCTGCAACATTTTACGAATGAAAAAAGAATGTTAGCTAAATGCTATAGCATTTAGACGTACATGGTAAAAAAAAAAAATTGGCCTGAATTTTTTTAAGAGGTTATAACTAGAGAGTAGTAGAGGTTAAGAAATGTTAAGTATGAATATAGGATGATGATCAAAAGTTAGGGTTGTCACAATTATGATATATAATATAATAATGTTATTAAAATAATAACTTAAATAATTAAAAATAACGATTATATTATATTATACTATAATATAATATATATAATTACAATATAATATATATTTATTATTATATTTAATATAATACAATAAAACTATTATTAAAT